ATCAGCGGCCATCAGCAAGGCAGGCTGCAGGCAGTGGGACCCTTACATATCAATCAATCAACCTTTATTTAGACAGGTAAATCCCATTGAGCCTCGAGGACTCATTTACAAGAGAGACCTGATTTCAACAAAGAAAGATGACAACAAAGGACAACAGCAACAACAATAAACAATTATAAAAAGTCATACTGCAGGGTTTTTTTTTTGTTTGTTTTTTTACAAATAGGATGGCTAAAAGGAAAAGGTAGCAAAAAAACAAAAAACAGCTAGATTCTAAGGCGAATGTAGAAAACTAAAAACAGGAACATGTCTGCAGTGGTCCTTGCCAGGAGTCCAACAGATTCTTAAAGCCACTTAGAGAGGTCAAGGCCTAGAGCTTCAAATCTTTTTGTAAGATATTCCAGGAAACAGGAGCGGAGTAGGAGAAGGCCATTTTGCCTAGTTCAGTCCTCATTGAGGGAACACTGCAGGTAATAATGTCCTGAGAGTGCACACTGTAGCTGCACTCACGCAGAGACATGTAGGAGGAGATGTAAGAAGGTAGCAGACCAAGAAGTGATTTAAAGATGAAAATGTACCAGTGAGAGAGTCTGCGTGAAGTTAATGATGTCCAGTTAACCAATGAATACAGGGTGCAGTGGTGGGTATGATAATCACAGCCAGTTATGAATCTTAATGCACCATGATAGACAGCATCCAACATCTGCAGGGTTCTTGTAGGAGCGTTCATATAAATAATGTCACCATAATCAATTGAGGGAAGGAAAGTCACAGATACAAGGCGTTTTCTAGCATTCAGGGTTAGACAGGATCTGTTTCTGAAAAAGAAACCCAGTTTAACTTTCAGTTTCTTTACCAAGTTTTCCACATGGAGCTTAAAAGAGAGATGTGAGTCGACCAAGATACCCAAACATTTATAGGAATCAACAAACTCAATGTGGACACCATTTGAGGATAAAATCGGAGGAGGAACTGCTGGGACCAACTTCCTATTTGAAAAAAGCATCCCTTTGGTTTTGTCGGCATTTAGGACAAGTTTGAGGCGGAACAAATCAGTCTGGATGTAGTTGAATGCAGAATTCAAAAGCTAGAAAGCCTTAGCAACAGTTTTACCTCGACAATAAACAACTGTGTCATCAGCATAGAAATGTATGGATGCATTAGGGATGTTTTTACCTACATTATGTATGTAGATTGTAAAGAGGGTGGGTCCTAAGACTGAGCCTTGTGGTACACCATTGTTGACTGTTAAATAACTGGAGGAAGTACCATTATGTTGAACACATTGCCTCTGGTCTGAAAGATAGTTAGAGAACCAACCAATGGTGTGTTCTGAGAAACCAATTTCTGAGAGTTTATGACACAAGATGTTATGATCCACAGTGTCAAAAGCTTTAGACAGGTCTAAGAAAAGTGCAGCACAATAATCCTTAGCATCCAGTGCTTCAACAACGTCATTAAGAACCTTCAGTGAAGCAGTGGTTGTGCAGTGTTGTTTCCTGAAACCAGATTGATGTGGAGGTAAGATGTTAAATGAGTCCAGGTAATTTTTGATTTGAGAGTTTATCAGTTTTTCTAGAACCTTGGCTAAAATGCAGAGTTTAGAGATTGGTCGATAGTTGTTCAGTGAGGTGGGGTCACCTCCCTTCAGCAAAGGAAGAACAAAGGCTGTTTTCTAAGTGTCTGGGATGGAGTTTTGTCTTATGGAGAGATTGAATATGTGGGTCACAGGGACTGTGATGATATGAGCAGCCAACCTTAAGAAATAAGGTGGAAGTTCATCTGGACCTGCAGATTTTTTAGGATCAAGATCTTTTAACAGTTTATTAACCTCACTGACTGAGAATGGAGAAAAAGAGAAGCTGTGATTAACTGAGAATTGACTTGTAGGAGGGATTTGATTTGTAGAAGTTTGGTTATTAGGGGAAGTGGCTGATTTTCTGTTAGTAACTGTGTCAAACAAAGAACTAGAAGCAACAAAATGTTTGTTGAAACAGTTCAGGATCTCGTGCTTATTTGACACAGGAACAGAGTTAATGAGAAGTTGTGATGGGAGGTCAGATGATTGGGGGGTGCCTGAGATGGATTTGATGGTTTTCCAGAATCTGTTAGGGTCATTTAGATTTTTGGAGGTCTGAGAAAAGAAATAGTTGCGTTTTGCTGCTTTGACAGCAGTTGTACATTTATTCCTCATCTGTCGAAAACTCAACCAATCAGTGTCTGAGTCAGATTTTCTCACTGCAGCCCAAAGATGATCTCTCCTGTGCAGGAGGTCAGCTAGCTCTGGAGTAAACCAGGGGATGTATTGTCCCTTTATTCTGAACTGACGAAAAGGAGCATGTTTGTTCACGAAAAAAATGAAACTATTATGAAAATAGTTCCAAGCGGAGTTCACGCCATCAGTTAACAGAATATGATGCCAGTCAAAGTGAGACAGATCCCAGAGGAATGACGGTTCACAAAAACGTTTCAGATCCCTTTTTTGAATTAATCTGGGGTTAGAAGGTGGAAGTTTAATATCTCTCAAAGCAGCTGTCACACAATGATCACTCAAAATATCA